TAACTACCCATTTTCTTCTGTTGTGCTGTCCCTGGCTAGTAGTAGCGATCGATCAGTGCCGAGATCCCCACCAACGTCCTCGCCGCTGTCGACGGTACTTCCATCGGAATCCGCCGAACATCTGTACCGGTAAGTCGCTCTTTCCTCGCCTTGCATGTAGCTTTGTGCCGCCAAATTAACCGCCGCTGGTTTGTTGCAGCCGAGCCAAATGCTGTTGTCTTCTGTTGTGCCGTCCTTGGGTAGTAGTAGTGCTCGATCGATACCAAGATCCCCGCCAACGTCCTCGCCGGCTTGCAACCACGCCTCCATCGCATCCGCCAAGCTCTTTGTTTCAACGCCCTCACCGACCGTTTGCCGAGCTGTGTACCGGTAAGTCGCTCTTCTCTTGTCTTCCATATAGCTTTCTGCAGCAAAACTAACTGCTCCTTCGTTTCTCTAGCTGCAACCTTCCTACTAGTCCCTATTTGATCGAGGCCAAAATTCCTCAATGTCCTCGTCGTCTCGTCACAGTACCTCCGCCCGCTCCTCCGAGCTCTACACCGGTAAGTTATCTCTCTTGATTAATGTATTGTTTTGCAGCAAGTCTAACCGTGTCTGCCTCCTTGTTTTGTGTGTGTACTCTCTTAGTAATATTATCGATCGACGCCGGTATTCCCCTCCAAACATCTTCACCATCTGTTGACAGTACCTCCATTGGATTGCCGCTTCGTTACTCTTAACCGACGCTCTGTCAATTCAATTGCCGCTTCCACCGTCCTCGCCGATTAGCTTGACAGCTCCAGCTTTTCCTCCGACAACGTGATCGCGCTGTGGTCTTGCCACCAGTTGAGCTCAAGCGATGGCGAGATCCGTATCCGACAAACTCCCTTCTTCTCTCCTCGGTTTGTCCGACAGGCACAGCAGCACGACGCTTCCCTATTTGGTCGATCATCGTCCTTCCTCGAAGCTCCTCCCCTTGATCCTTGAATATAAAAGGACCACTCGTCGCCACTTTCTCCTCGGCCTCATCAGCTCCTAGCTGTCTCGTCAATCTTTCGCTTGTCCGATGTTCTTTTCCGACCCCCCGTCTTGTCCAATAGCAACCGAGGAAAGTAGTTACCACCCGAATACCAAGAACTTTTTTTTTTTTTCCTAATGCTCGTCAATCTTTCGCTTGTCCGATGTTCTTTTCCGACCCCCCGTCTTGTCCAATAGCAACCGAGGAAAGTAGTTACCACCCGAATACCAAGAACTTTTTTTTTTTTTCCTAATGCTTGCGAATAGATATCAACACAGACATAGCTGAACACCCCTTGTCCATTCTGAGCCAATTTTTTTTTTCTCTCCTTTGTGTATGTTGGTAACAAAAATTATGTAAAGAAGAATGAAGGCAGGTAAAAGATTTACACATTTAATTATGTCTAGATCAAGCTACCTGATTGTATTCTTGATGTTTTTTTTTTATTATTATTATTTTTTTATTATATTTTTTTTTATCATTCTATTATTGATATAATCTTGAATGAATTTGAATTATTATAGGGCTGAGAAAGCTTGACCGTAAGGGGTTGAGTTGTCCAAGCCTAAGAAAGCTGAAACCTTTGTGTTGAGTATTGAAGAAATTGCTTTGATAGTTGTAGATGGATTTTCTTCTTTTTACAGAAAACGTTAGACAGTTTAACCTCTTGTCTGGGAGGCCCATGGTGAGTTCTGTTTGTTAAAGCTTGCCTTGCCCAAGAAAAAAACCTGGTTTACTTGAGCCGCCTCTGTCCTTCAAATATTTGACCTCCGGTTTTAAGGTAGAAAAATCCCAAAAAATCCTAGTTTCCTTTTGTCGTAGTTGTCCTCCAGGGAATTATCCGCAGTTTTTGAGTCACAGAACAAAAAAAACCTAGTTTTCTCTCGCCGCAGTTGTCCTCCAGAGAAATATCCGCAGTTCCAGTGTAAAATCAAAAAAAATCCTAGTTTCCTTTAGCCACGCTGGTCCTGGAGAGGGAGTTATCCGCTGTAGGTTATATGTCTTGCTGGGGTTGATTACGAGTTAATGATCCTCTGAGAGTCGTCAGGCCACTGTTGGGACACCAGATGTGAGAACTCCTTTGGGATGGGTTGGCAGTCCTTGAGGGGGAAATAACAATAATGATATTTCACTAGATAATATTTACTGTTACGGGTGGTTTGAAAGACCTGCCCCTCTATTTACTACACAAGAATTCTGACAACAATTTAATTTATTGTTGTGGCGTAACTTTATGACAGAGAAAACTTTATATGTAGTAGTCTCTATCAGACCTAGATCAGTATGTAATTCAATACAAGATGGTTGTACAACCTTTACACGGTGAATGTGGGTGTGAAAACAATCCAAGTGGAATATTTTTATAGGGTTTTATGGTTTTAAGGTGATTCTGGATAAGTAGTGAAACTGTTGGTTGTTGTTGTTGATGTTGATGATGATGTTGGTGTTGGTGTTGGTGTTGGTGTTGTTGTTGTTACTGGTGTTGACTAGACTTGGATTATGATGACCACTGAGCTGGTTGTGGGGGATGAACCGGCTGGGTGATGATGGGGGGAATTGGTGAAGGAGAGGCCTCCTTATATATTCTTTTCTGAGTTATTTTTGCTGGTGGTGATGCAGTTGAGGTGATTTTGCTGGTGGTGACCTTGTGGGTTGCACTGCCTCCTGCAAAGAGTACATGCATTGAGCTAATTATGCTGTGGAAATAACTAAATATGGTACTACTGTATGTAAGGATTGCATAACTGGTTGCACTGCCTGGTGGAGGTTTTTTCTGTCCACATGCATTTATGCAAAGTCTGCATAAATTCAATTAAGTAACTAAGTGGAGGCCTAATGGTTGCACATATGCATGCAAGAGTTGCATAACTGCCCTGCACTACTGGTGGAGGCCTGCTGATGTAATAATCTATGTTTATGTACATATATATATGTGGTAAACTACTATTGAATACTAATTAATGACTAGTTATGGTATGGCTTTAACCTTTATATTGGATTATCTTCTAAGCTAATAGAGATAGAGGTATAGTTGTAGTGAGTGACTATGGGTAAAATTGTATGTAGATTCTGATTATGTAATAATATATTCATATATGTAAGTGGTTTAGGTTATAAGGTAGGGGTTTTGGCAGTTTTGTTGCGCACAACAGCCTGGACCACCACACCGCTGCTTCTGTAACATGTTTCCACAGTGGAGGTTTACTACAGCCGTCTGGTCCTTTTGGGAGTTGTCCGTTACTGACTAAAGTCCTCTTGATGTTCTTCTGACTTTCTTTAGAAAATGCACTTATGAAAAGAAGTGATGTGTCCTGCTTCTTGTTCAAATGTTCATTATCCACGAGATATTTCAAGATAGTGGTGAATTTTCCCAAGTAAGCCTTGTACTCTTTGTAATCCTTCAGTCCTCCCTTTCTGGAGTATTCTTCCACAATTTTGACCAAATCCGCCGTAGTATATAGAATAGTGTTGTCCAATTCCCCCCAACTCTCCTTCATTGCCTTCCTTAACTCCGTCCAGTTGAAGCTGTCGTAACCTTCCATCGCCTCGAGTTCCAACTTCAATTCCTCCTTATGTACAAATCGCCCAATCTGTAACGCCTTTTCGTAGTCCGATGCCTGAAACGCCAAAGCCGCTCGTTCGTATCTCGCTAGAAATCGTGTGAAATTGGTCCCGTCGTAAACAAGTCCCGGTTCCTTGATGATCCTTGGTCCATATCTTCTCTCTGTCGGTTCACCATCTGATCCTCTCGCATTATGTAATCCATATCCAGTCACCGGAGGTTCCGTTTGCTTGGCTTGTCTCTGTGGTGTAGGATCTTCTGAGTCTGACATCTCTTCTTCAACCTGTTGTTCTCTGTATTGATTGGCTGGCATCTTTCCTTTATCCTTCTTCATTGGTGGTGGCGGTGCCGTAAATCCTGTATTCCAGTTTGAATTCGATCCCGACGCAAATGGTCTATTTCCCAAAGGTGTTGTTGGAGCAAATCCGTCTTCCAAGTCTGGCACAGTATATGGTAAACTCATGTTGTTCTTGTTGACTTCCTATTTGTTGTGATGTAATACTATGTTTGGATACTAATCCTACTAAACTCTGATTTTCAATTCAAAAATGGTCTCTGGTCTCTTTACCAGGGCAAGTTGGGGGTTTTCTCAGTAACAATACTAGTAGCTGGGAGTTTTCTTCTAGCAGGATACGATTATCCAGATTCTTCGGTGGTCTTCCTTCTTCTGGGATATAATCGTCTGCTTCCTTCGAGTGGGCTCCGACGTTAGCTTCAAACAGGATCCAGTTATCCAAATCCTTCCGTGGTCTTCCTTCTTCTGGGATATAACTGGCTGCTTCCTTCGAGATACGTCTGTCAGAACTAGAGTCACAAATCTTCTTCTTCTTCTTTCAGAGGTTTAGTAGTTTTCGTTCGTTAATAGGTTCTATCACTTGACTATTCGATCTTCAGGTTAACTTGATGTTTCTTCTTTACTTGATGACAGTTGTGGTTGATAAATTTGTTCTTCGCAAAAATCCTTCAAGAGTGTTGACTATCTGTGTTGATTCTTCTTCTTGCTGTTCGTCTAGAATTTGATCCTTCTTCAATTATACCGTAATCCTTATCACGTTGGGGACTCCCTTGTAAGACTCAAAAAGTGATTGTAAGATCCTTTTTGCTGAATGGAGAAAGGGATGAAATGAGCTGCAAACTCTGCCTTTCTATATTATCAGAAAACAAGACCACCAAGGTAAGCTTGGCAGTTTGGTTGGTGATAATGGATTATGTTCAAAGATGGTTGTATAATTGTTGAAGGTTGATCTCGTTGTCCAAAGAATTGATTGAGTTGGTGATGTTGTTTCTCGTCTTGATGTCTTGATGCTTGTGTTCTTCCTTAATGCTGTATATGTAATAGAGGTGGTTCTTGAACCCAAAGGGACTGGGAGCACTATGCTTTAACCAGGACTGGAACAAAGGACTGGTTCTTCTGTGTAATGTTTGTGAAACTGTGTGTATATTTCAACTGTGAACTGTACTACTTGTGAACCTCTTGTGTAATAAATATCTGTGACAGGTGTCCCACCAAAAATGTGTACTGAGTGGGATGAGGAGGGAAACAACTGGCAGGCAGAGGCCTCCTTATATAGTAAATTATGAGGGATTTTAGCCCCAAGGGACCCCCTGTATGAGGCATTTTAGCTGACCTGTCCTTGAAAATCCTGAGGGATTTTGGCTAGACTATCTACAACGCATTCCTTTTATATGTAAGCTGTAAGAAAGGAATTCATGTGTTCTGTGGCTGAATAAATGGGAATTTAACTGGTACAACTGGTGGCCAACTTGTGGTTCTGTAAGTATAAAAGGAATTCAATATGGATAAAAGGAATTCAATATGCAATATGCAATATACCC